GTAAACCAGCGATTGGGCCGGCTCGGCTATTCTGGTACAGGAACACGACGGGACCTATCATCGAGACACTTTGACAAAGTCGAACGCTCGAATCTAATCAGCTCAACTATGGTGTCATAGAGACAAGATTCTTGTACTTCTGCGAGTCCTGCAATCTGCTCGTGGGGCGATCTATCCGGACGCTGACCCAGCACTACAGGTTGGCTTTTCAAATCAACCGGCCTCCATGGGTGCCTTGGCCAGTGGACTGCTCTGCTCTCGTCATGAACTTTGGAGATCGCGGAGTATTTACAGGGAGAAGACGAGATCTTGGGAGTTCATGCAGCAAGAATCACGCCCGGTCAAAGGTAGACGAGGTGCTCACCCGGATCACGCCCAGAAAAGGGCCCAGCCGATAGATCCGGACTGTGATCCCGACGGTACAACCTGACGAGGACCTGCTCATGTGAATAATGGGGGAGGTGCCTACCGTGCGACTTTGTGGAAATTACCCGAGTGAAGGTATTGAAAGCCAGATCCGCGTACGGTGAGGGACTTACAGTCAACGAAGCGGAATATCATGGGCTGCTGTTGGGTCTGGGTCAGCTGAGTGAGGCCGATCAGAAGCAATTGGTGATCTGTGGTGATTCCAATCTGATGGCCCGGCAGGTACGAGTTGAGATCGACTGTAAGGTATCCGGATTGACGATGCTAATGCAATGAGTACTGAATCGGATACGACAGTGGATAGGTGATGACTTGGTGCATGTCAAGCGTGATTGGAACGCCAGTGCAGACAGCCTAGCGAGTTCGGCATTGCAGAAACAATGCAAGATTGAGGTAGAGGTAGAATTCGACTATCAAGATACCATTACAGTGAACCGGTTGGAGGAGGGTTTCGTGGCGCGATCTGAAGTCTAAGCCTCGCAGATATCCGCTGTAACTTTCCAATCAAGAGCTAGGACGGCGTCTACACTCCAGATCCTGTAAGAACAATATGTGAGAGGACTCCGTATAGATTGGATCGAGAAGGCGCAAGGTGAGGAGGCGTGGATCTCGAGCTTGAAGAAATACCTGATTGGAGATGTGTCCGATCTAAGTCGAGAAGTGGCCAAATCGTTTAGTCCCGTCACCACATATTACAAAGTGGATCTAAACGATCTACTATTCTATTATCCTCCTACTAAGCGTAGTGATGAAGACCGCGACGGATTGATGAGATTGAGAATGCCGGAGGCTCTACATCAAGATATCCTACATCACTACCATCTCAGCTTGGAGGGTGGGCATCAATGTATTGGCCGTACTTATCAGCGGATCCGGGATAGGTTCCACTGGAGAGGACTGCACAAGAGCGTGCAACGCTATGTCGGTGAATGTGTGGATTGCGAGACGGGCAAAGGTCCAGGACTTTAATTCCCGATTATGACTAAGCGAACACAATCATGTTTGTATATTTGTGTCTGGCGGCCTTCACAAAGTTGTCTGAAGGAGCGATGTATGGTACATCAAATTGTTATATTTATAAAAATAAAACTTATAATTTAAAAATATATATGTTGCCTCTCCAGCGAAAAAAACAACCAAAATAGGGCTACACGAAAGCTGGGATGCTCTTCTTGCAAAGCTATTTTGTTGTCGCCCGCAAGAGTGACGCTGGTGCTTCAGTATTTATTCATACATCTCCTGCGTCTGCTTCGCAGCCGCTGCATCTGCGCGCACATTCGACGAACCGCCAC